TTGGTGGTGCTTACAAAACTATCTTGCAACCTGTTTTTGTTCGTTACTACTGTCAATTACACTCTTATACTGAGACTGGTCTGTTTTCCTAGGCATTTTCTCGTCGCCAAGATAGAATAATTGATTATTAAAACTCATTTTAAGTAAACTCAATCAAAACTATTTATTTACAAAAACAAAACAATAATATAAAAACAAACCAAATAGCAGATGATTCATAACTTCATAACTCAGCTGATAACAATAATCCTACACTAGGCCTAGGCCTATTCAAATATGGTGAATTTTAAGAAAAAATCTAATACCGAGTATTCCTATACACATCAAACACTTAAATTTTTACACTTTTGGTATTCTTTTAAAAATGGTTCATAAAAAGGCCTCATTATTATTTCCTAAAGATTACGGAGGTTGTCCTCAGATGTAGGCAGGTCGACAGATCAAAAAGTTTGGGAACCGCACAGGTGTAGGCTATAAGTATTTTAGAATGTAAAAAAAATATAAAACATGTGTATATGTATGATTTAAACTGATTTTTATTTACAAACAGAGATATTATAAAATACTATCCAGAACACGTCACAAATTACAAATTATATAAAACTAGGTGAAACCCGTCGAAATCGACGGTTACTTTCAAGGCTTACACTAATTCATCTAACTGCCATAAATTGAGTGAAATTATACATATTTGAGCATTTAGCGTTGTTTAAAGAGTAATAAGTGTAAAAACAATAATGATATTAATTGTGTTAGTTACCAAATATGGTTGATCATTCAATGAATAAAATATTTCTCATACTGTACGTCATCGGTGTTATTATTAGTATGTTAACTGGTATCTCTTCTTTTTTCTTTTGGAATAAACTTTAAATAGTATTAAAATCGTATCGGTGGATATTTTGTAGTTAAAAACTTCCGCGATTTCATCAGTGTAATAAAGATGAATCTATGATTTTATTTGAGAAAAAAATATCTTTTTGTTGAGAAGACACGTTCTAAATTGGAAGAGTTACTGTGATAAAAGGATTTTCCTCTGATTTCGTAATGGAACATTATATTCCAAAATATGACATGATACAGAAGAAAATCAATTTTTAAATCAGAAAATAACATTGCAAATACTTCTTTTGGACAATTCAGTAACTCCCAATAAATGTGTGTTGTTTAAAATACAATTCAAAAACTAACAGCTGTTTCATTAAATAGTTATTTGTGCAACTAGTGAGAAAAGTGAGCAATTGACTCACTCGAGAGAAATCCTTACTCACGAGCCGTAGGCGAGTGAGGAATGGTTTCTCGAGTGAGGCAATTGTACTTTGAACTCGAGTTGCACATTATACTTTTCCTACAGTTACCATAAAACAAAAACATTTGTGAAGAAACATGAACAAACATAACCTATTTTTACACAGAAGTGAACTTTTAATATAACATTTAATGTGAAGTGACAAATACAACAGTACAACAGCTGACCAGCTGATTTACAGCCAGTGCTGCCAACGTATTTCGCGCGCATACGATGTTGCCTGCATGATACGCGCTCACTATTTCGTGCCTTCACGTTGCAAATCTGGAGTGAGACAAAGTAATTAGAGTGAGACAATGTTAACATTGTCTCACTGGTGAGCGAATTGGCCACTTTGCTTTCTCAAATCAGTGAGAGAACATGTACATTGTTAGGTGACTGTAGGAAAAAGTATTATCCACATGGCCAAAATGTAAACAAATCTGTGGAGGGATATTTAAAGGCTTCTGGGGCAGAGCCCTAAGGGAATTTACTTCATTTTTCTGTTGATAACTCATCTACAGACCAAGACATTTCTTTGGGCACCTACCGAGTTTCTATGCCCACCCGTTCTCTAAAATTAGTGGAGACAAAGTTTCCACACTTTAATAATTAAAATCGGTCCAAAAATGAGGGAGGAGTTCTGTTTACAAAAATCAGCTTAGCAGCTTAGATAGTTTTTCGTTTACAGTGCAAACCATGAAGTACATTATTTTATTATACCTTAAAATCTATCTTTGGTTTTGTATCGTAGGTAGTATAAATAAGTAATCACAGTAAGAGTTAACAAAAACGTACTATTATCAAGTTAAGTAGTACAGTTAAATTTTGTTTCTAAATTTGGCATTTGGAAAACTATTTGGCATGTTTCTAAGAACCCACATTGTCTCTTTTGCATACTGACCCCGTTGCAAGGCACGGGTATAGCTGCTAGCAAATACAAATAGTAGCGCTGATTTGCAGTAGCTGTTCAAATGGCGCTACTAATTGCACCAACGGGATTGATTTGTTTAGTATCTAATATGAATTAGAGTTAATCATGTACTACCACAAAGTATTCTTTCTACATAAATTACAATTCCATAATACCCCCACCGCAGCAAACCTGCAGCCAAAGCAAATTTCCATTTGTGTGACTTTATTTTTAATTAAATCTAATTCAATAACATTAGGTTTAACGAGTACCTAGGTTTTTGCTGCCTAGAGGGAGGATAACGAAGTGTGATTTTAAGGAACATATCATTAGCTTACTATGAAATAAATAAATTTGCCAAGTTTGATAAAAATCGATCCATAAACAAGCAATATTACAACAGTTTACTTATCCTACTAATATTATAAGTAAGAAAGTTTGGATGTATGGATGTATGGATGGATGGATGGATGTTTGTGACAAGTAAACGCGAAAAATACTAAACCGACAAGGTTGAAATTTAGTATGATGATAGCTGACATTCCTGATTAACATATAAACATATTCTTACCTCAAAAATCCTTTCAGGCTCCGCCCCAGTGGCTCTGGCTCTGGAGTTTCTCATGTAATCCTTATGAGTATTCGTATTTAAAGAAATTAAAGAATTTTGTCAGCCCTTTCAACTTCACAAGTTGGTTCTATGATAAATAGCATTAAAAAGGTATAAGGCTTACCAACAGGGTGCAGCACTATTATGTTTTTTGCATTTATGACCACAGCTAATTTTAACCAACTAGCAACAAAAAGTTGTGGTACACAATGAGAACTTAACTTTTTTTCATGGTTTAGGTGCAGTGGTAGAAAATTAGGGCTATGGTAGATACTGTAGGACACTGTAAGATACCGTATAAATTAAAAGACCAAATTTTCTTAAACCGTGTCCTCTCCCATAACTACAATAAGCATTTATACTTATATGCCAACCCCGTACGAAGGACGGGTACTCTGCTAGTTATCTATAAAGCTGCTGTTTTAGTTTAATTATTGGATATCAAATAGGCCTATAGACTACTAACAAATAGATGTCCACAAAACATTTGCAAGGCATTTGGTTTTAAGATATTTAGTTTATGTCAGTTAATGTGTGTAAAAGTTTTGCAAACTTGACATGCAATCAAACTGCTGTTCTGAGTATATTTGATTACTTGGTTAAGTTTTTGTTGTAATTTTGTTTACGCCATAAATAAATTGAATAATTTGAAAAAGCTTATTTTAAATATATGAAAAATCATTAATTTACATTTCTAATAAACAATTTTAAATAGTATACCCTAAGAATAATAAACTAATTTAAAAAATACAGTATTAGCCAAAATAAACAGTACTGAAACTGAATCAGCTGTAGTTACCTTCTCGATCAGCTGATTCAATAGGTGATTGTTGCCACGGCTTTGCGTTCATTACTTCTTTCTTATTTGAGGTTAGTTTTTGTTAACATGGTGCTAACAACTTTAGAAAAAACTTTTATCGTAGAGCCTCATTTTCGCTCATACGGAATTGGACGTGCGGGTGGTCCAAGCTTGTCACACACTGCTTTACGTTTTCAGGAACATTTCCACAAAAACCCGCCTAGTAATGCTGTGATTCTTAGTGTTGTCGAAAAATTTCGAAGAACTGGTAGTGTTTTGACACAGCGAAAGGGCTTTTCAGATCGCCCAGTTACTGTCTGTACAAATGAAAACCACGGAAGAGTGTTGCAGCAAGTGTTACAGTCACCGAAAAGAAGTCTAATGCGAGCTTCTCTTAAACTGAATATTAGCAATACGTCAATGAGAAGAATGTTCAAAAATATTGGTGGTTTTCCCTACAGGATACAAACTGGACAACCATTGGATCGTATAAACAAACTACTTCAGTACTTCAATGTTAGTAATATGCTATGAAGAACCTGATTTTCTGAGTGATGTATGGTTTACAGATGAATGTCATGTGCACCTTAATGGTTACATAAACAAGCAGACAACACGTTTCCTTGGATTTGAACGTCCTGACATTGTTGTAGAGCATAGTAAACGTGTAACCATTTGGTGCGCTGTGTCAGGGAGGGGTATAGTGGGACCATACTTTTTTGAAGGCAATAATGGGGAGACTGTTTCTGTGAATAGGGATCGATATAGGGCCATTCTTGATCGTTTTGTGAGTGACCTCAGGAGATTTTGTCGTGCACGAAACCTGCCGTTAGGTTCACAGTGGTTCCAGCAGGATGGCGCAACCAGTCACACTGCCGTTAACAACATTGCTTTCCTCCGACAAACCTTTGGCAACCGTCTCATCTCCCTTAGAACAAACTTTCCTTACCCAGCCCACTCCCCCGATCTTACAACACCGGATGCTTACGTGTGGGGAATGTTGAAAGAAAACATCTTCCGTGAGGACCCACCATCTACCATCGTTCAACTCAAAGAAAAAATAACCATGTGTATTAGGAGAATGGAACAACCCCTATTCATAAAAATGGTGCAAAACCTACAAGAATGGTACGAGTGTTGCCTCAAACTGAACGGGGCTCATATTGAACATGTTATTACCCGTGTTTAGCCGATTTTGCTTCCATTGACTTATATGTATTGTTAAAATTTATACATAAAATAAAAGTACTACCATTAAAAGTATTAAAAGTATTTCAGTACTGTTTATTTTGGCTAATACTGTATATATAGGGCCTATATACATAGTTTTTTCTTAAACCTAATTGCTACTTTAGATTTGTTATACAGTTTTAACTATTTGTATTTGTAGAGAGAAGGAGGCCGAGTTCCCCGTACAGTAGAGGTTGAACTGACAGAAGATCTGGTTGACTCTTGTGTGCCTGGGGATGAAGTCACCATTACTGGTGTTGTTAAGGTATTCCAGCCATAGCTATGAATATATTTAATACTTTTGTTGTAGGAAATCTGCAGAGTAAGGGATTATCTAGTCTCACCTATTTATTTTGTATTTAAACCAGTTAATTAAAATATTAAATTAATACTAAGACTAGCATCACACATGTTTATCTTGGACCAAAACTAGAGCTTAAAAGCATAATATTGTAAACATAATATATGAGCTGCTACGGTCTACTGTCCTTCTCAACGGGAAGGGGACGCAAAAGATGACGTTATTTAGATCTGTGCTGTGTGAAATATTTACACTATTAGAAGCAAACTTAATTTTGGCACTTAGTGTGGTAATTTTTTTTTTATAATTAAGATGGGGGTTTGAAATCAATATAGATCCATAAGAATCTAACAAAGTGTTATAATATTTACCTTAGTGTTGCAATAAAAGTAGGTACTTGATATGATTTTAATTTAAAAAATTACCCCCGCCACAGCAAACTTGCAGACGAAGCAAATTTCCATTTTTGGATTTACACTAAAATATCTCCTTAAAAATATTACATTTATTCCCTATTTAAAAAGCATTAGTTTAACAAGTACTTAGGCTTGCATCAACAGGGAGGGTAAAAAGTTTTTTTTTTTGTGAAATGTTAATAGTTTTATAAAATAAACTAGAGGACTCATGCTAATACAGTAAGTTATCTTGAACTTCCCCTAGTAGCAGAAAATCAAGAAAAAATTGTTTTAATACCAGTTTTAAACTTATTTTAAAACTGTTATTAATATGAGTAAAATTGACAACGGTTTAGTTTTAAAATAGATCAAACATTTTTTCCAACTATATTGCAACAACCTTAAAACTGTTTTACAACAACCTAAAAATTGACTTCACAAACATTCAACCCTTCCCGGACGGGTGGCGGATATATCCGCTTATGGTTTTTGATGTTCCGGGTGGGAAGCGGATGTATCCGCCTTCTCTTCAGACAGGCTGGCAGGTGCTTGAGCAGTAACCAGATGTTTCGAGGTACCAAGGCTCCACTTTCCTGCTCTCTCCATGGCTGCGCTCACTCCCGCACTCCCCCCTCTCTCCCACGCCTACCCCTCTCCCACGTCACCCCCTATCCTGCGCATCACCCACCTCTCCTACGCTCCCCCCTTGACGCTTCGTGCTCAACACTACGTTGTCTTTATTTATTGTTTTCAGGGTGTCTACCAACCGGGAAATCCGGGAAAACCGGGAATTGTACTTAATTTTTTATTGGCCATGAAATGTACGGGAATTGTCCTTAAATGCCAGACTATGTCCTTAAATTTTTAATGGGCCATAATTTTATTGATCGCTAGTTGGTTAGGAGCACATAAAAGGTTTATCAGATGTTTGTTTACATTTTCATAATTTATTACTAGAGTTATTATGCAATAAAAATCCCATTAGCAATTTCAAACCCATTAATATTTTATCACGACAATCAAGTGTCAAGTCAAGTACTTCCAAGAACTGTTGACTCAGTTATAGCTCATAAAAGTTGTATCACTTTTATTCCTTTACAACTTCTTTTTTTATTACTAGGGTAATTATTATGAGATCCCAAACCTATTTTATCGTGAAAATAATAGCTTTATAATGGCTGTTAAATTTCACTTCTTACTTGTACTTTGGCTTGAAGATTCAATTTGCCGAGGCCATTGCCTAGTGCCATAAAACTGTTTATGGTTTCATATTAAACATGTAAATAATCTACAGTTTTATTTTGTAAGTTAACCCCTTTTTTATGGATATTTGATCTTTTAATTGACAAAACCACAAGCAATGTTGTTTGCATTAATGTTTTATCACTATGTAGGCTTGCTTGGTTTCAAATTATGTCATTGCATTTTCTGTATCTTTGTCTTATATTGTTGGCTATTCAGGTTTCAATGTTTTTTGTTTCCCATATATTTATTTATTGAGTTGTATGCTTTAAGCAATCTAAATCTTATGAACTAGAATTATGATAGTGACTTTGCTGCTATTATAACCTCATTGTTTGTTACCCAGTTTATATAGGCCCTCCTAAATAATTAGGTCTAGGCCTGGGTATTTTGATTCTTGAAAGAGCTGTAAAATATATTAAGAAAATGTAATTGAGCCTAGATAAACAACTAATGATTGCTATGTGTCTAAATTAACTTTGCAAATGAAAATACAATAGTCTTACTCTGTGCTTATTGCTTATTGGTAGCCGCTTACCATACCTTGATTTTGTACTAAGAACTGAGTAACAATATGCATTAAAGATTTTTTTTTTTCAAAAGTAGTCGAGAGCCTAACGTTGTGCCAGGGTGAATCATGCCAAATTAATCCGCCTGGATCGGATAAGCTATGTTATGAAGTTTACGTGACCGATGGAGATATTTGTCGCTATCGCAGGAGACAATGATTGCGTTTCTCTGTTACACTATAAAAGCTTTACCTAGAGTATAGGTAGGCCTATACTTGTTTACTTTCAAAAAATTTCTATTTTTAAATGTTTAACTCTTATCTATTGTTATTTACTGATCTCTGGTACAACTTCAGTTAATAACAAGATTAATACAGTTTGACAAATCAGGAAAATTATTCGGTAGGCCTAATGACACCGACAAAGGTTACGGCAAAGTGTCCTTAAATGTACGGGAACTGTCCATGAATTTTTTATCCAGAATGTAGTAGACACCCTGTTGTTTACATATCATTCTTTATTTATTGCCTAACGTTGTCATGTTTATATCTTCAAAGACGGGTTGCGGTTATATCCGCTGCTTTTTTACTCATCCGCAGAGGGGTAGCGGATATATCCGCATAGTTAAAAACGAGTAAAAAATTATTTTGACAGTATGAAGTGTTCCATTGTGTTTATTTTATCTATACTTGTAAAACAAAACACAAATAAGAAGAATTAATTTTTATTTTTTCCTATGATTTTTTCCCGTTCTATATAACCATTTCGCCCGTCTGGGAAGGGTTAAACATTGTTTTCAAATGGGACCAACCATCCCATGGGGATATCCTACATAAAAACACAAAATAAAACACAAACTATAACAAACACAAAATATAAAATTTTCCCGCTGCAGGAAACCTGCAGACTAAGCAAATTTCAACTTGTCTGATTACATTTTTACTAAAATATTTCCATAAATAATACATTTTTATTCCAATTTAAATAACATTAGATTTAATGAGTGCTTAGGTTTGCTGCTACGGGGAAGGTAAAAAGTGTTTTTTGACCATACGTCAATAGTATTAGATGAAATAAATAAATCTGCCAAATTTTATCAATATCTATCCATAAACAAGTAAACTACAACGATTTTCATTTCCTCCATAAGAATAACATAGGAATTTTAAATTACACTATTTTTTAATTCTCTTCGAGACCGTCAGGCATACAACGGCGCTTTAATATACTAAATTATTTCTTTTTTTAAGCTCTACAAAATGGTTAAAAAATAAATTGCAAAATTTTTGTTTTTAGGGTCAAAAATGGGAAAACCCCATTATTACCCCATAAACCCCCCATAAACCCCCGTTCCCATGGTCCGATTATGCTGGATCGCGAACTTGTTCGAATAAACGTAGGTTTACAGGTTTGTGCCAAATTTCATCAAAATGGGATCATTTTTGCTCGAGTTATGGCGCTAACGGACACATATATATATAGCCTATACTAGCCACCATACCTGTGCTTCGAAACGGGAAGAGAACGCTTAAGAGAATAATTACTATTCCATAGATCTGCTGTATGTTGATAAACTTTTAGTAATCCACTAAAAGTATTAACTTTAAATACTGTCTACTTTCGTTTCCCAGACATTATTTTTAGAGAAATAAACCATACAAATACAATAAGTTTTTTATAATCATTTTGGATAAAAGAAAGTCAAGTTAATCAATTACGCACTTAAAATAAAATAGTAGTTTACGCAACGATTGCGTTAAGTGAGTCTTTACGACACGAGTAGAAAATTTAAGGCACGAGCCTTGGCGAGTGCCTTAAAAACTTCTACGAGTGTCGTAAAGACTATTAACGCGAGTTGCGTACACTACTTTACCTACGACCGTTTTTTAATTACTATCAATCTGGATTTAATTACTAACAATCACTACTGATAACTTTTTAGAGAGGTTATGTTTTCGTGTATTGTCATTGCCATTGAAAGTGATGCAACGACTTGTATAATCAGCTGATTTCCTGTAATTACGTGTTTGTTAAACTTCGTCAAATATTACATTGCTAGCAGCATTCTTACCATAAATAATATTGTATCAGGTACAATTCGGCAAATATTTCATTTATTTTTGGACTTCCACCAACTTAATTAAGAATACGCGAGTATCAACATAAACAAGTCGGATCAACAATTAAATTGGTCAACTGATCAGCTGATCAGCTGATTAGTTGACGTTCGAAGCATTACAATTTTAATTCTTTTCTCTCAATACTTGAACCTCATTGGTCCGTTACCTGTGTGGATATGAGAAAACTATGCGGATATGAAATGAAACTATGCGGATATGAAAGTAAACAGCTGTAAAGTGAAACTTTTCAATTCTAAGAACTGGACTGAAATGGCTACTTTAAAAAACGGTCGTAGGTAAACTCTTTATTCACACACTGTCAAAAATTATTTATTAAATGAAAAATAAAAACATAAACATAACTCTAAACAATCCTACTTTGACAGTTATAATTTTGTATCACAGCTACTTGGTTGAAATTAGCAACTGTTGTCATAAATTTAGACAATTAATAGTGCGGTGGGACACACGGGAGAGACGATGGCTAACATAGTTTCAGCGTTCACCTCTAGAACCGCTAGTTGAAAAATTTAAATTAAGTTAATTTTTAGGACCATTTTCAACATGATTACGGCAACATGTTTCCCCCAGAAGTTTCCTTAGTTCGTCTCAGTAAATTCTTAGTTATTTCTGTTTTAAGTGGTTCAATCACCAACCAATCATTTCATTCATAGTCATTTTCTAGGTCACAAGTTTTG